GCACATTACAGAAGACCAACCGGGAGGTGACTAGGTCATGAGTGACAGTGAGCAGAGCCCCCGATCCAGGAATGTGAATAACTAGTTCACAACACAAAGCTGCGCAAAGGCCCTCCTGGCCACAACTGCTACTTCCTCTTCACGCAGGAGTCTTGAGTCCAGGAGGACTCCCAGATTGCACACCAGTTCTATCTGGGGCAGGGCCACCCCATTCAGCACCAAAGATTGCATAGTCCATCTTTGTAGGCCCCAAAACAAAGCCACTCAGTCTTGCAAGAGTTCAGCTGAAGCCTATTGTTTCCCATCCAGACATTCACAGCCTCCAGGCACCGGGATAAGACATTCACAGCATCACTTAATTGGCCAGGTACTGATGATACCTCACCCCATGGTGATGGATGAATAGCAGCCTCATGTAGATGTAGAATACGAGAGGGGAGAGTATCGAACCCTGTGGCACCCCAGATAGTAGGGGCCAAGGGCGGGATCTCTCCTCCCCAACCACCACCAACTGGAATCGGCCCCAAAGAAAGGAGGTGAAGTAGCACAACACAGTTTCACCCACCTCCAATCCTCTGAGTCGATCCAGAAGGATACTATAGTATCAAAGTGATCATCCCAAAGTGTGACCAATGCTGTTTCCATACCATACCAAGGCCCGAATCCCAGCTGAAAGGGATCCAGATAATCCTCTTCATCCAAGGTCCTCCTAAGCTGCTGTGCAACCACCTTCTCAATCACCTTCCTCAAAAAGGGGAGGTTAGATACTGGATGAAAATTTTCCAGTATAGTAGGGTCCAGCAATGGCCTCTTGAGGAAGAGTGAACTAAAGCCTCCTTAAGAGGCAAGGGAACAACCCCCTCACTCAAAGAAGAATTAACCATCACTAGAACCCATTCACACAATACCACCTGTACCACTTTAACCAGCCAGAAGAGGCATGGATCTAAAGAGCAGGTGGCTGAGCTCATAGCCCCAAGGACCCTGTCTACTTCCTCAGGTCCAACAGGTTCAAACCATTCCTAAATAACAGGGCAAGACTCCTCCCCAGGCATCTCCTGTAGCAAAGCTGGTGTCCAACTATGAATGAATCTGAGCGATTTTGTCCAAGAGAAGCTGAACAAATTCTCCCGTATGTCCAGAGTTCTGAGGCAGCTATCTGCAGACACAATAAGAGCAGAGGAGAAATTGTGCTTTGCTGCCCTTATTGCCACTAGGTAGGCCTTAATAGCAGCTCTGACCTATGTTCGGTGGAGTTCATCCCTCGTCGAGCAGCAGCAACACTCTAGACAGTTCTTCTCTCAGTTTATCTCCCTCAGTGCCTCCGTAAACCACAAGGAGTGACAGGATCCATGGGAGGGGAGAGTCGCATGAGCGCAATCTGATCCAAGACCACAGCCGATCCCTTATTCCAAGCAATGACCATGGCTTCAGATGGACTATTCAACAGACCAGCAGGAACAACTCCCAGCTCCCTCTAGAACACATCTGGGTCCATTAGTCACTGGGGTCAGACCAATCTAATGAGTCCAGCCTCCCTGCAGTGGATAGTGGCACAGGAGAATCCATGGTAATCAGTGTATCATCTGACCATGACAAGGGGGGCACTAAAAGGTCCCCTGATTTCAGATCACCACTACTCTGACAAGAACACCTGATCTGGTATATGGCCATTGTCCCATGTCAGGCTCTGGATGATCTGGGATAAGCCCATGGCCATCATGGTGGCCATGAACTCCCAAGCCACCTCAGACCCCACTCCTAGAGAACACAGATTGAAGCCCCCCAAGACCATAAGTCTGGGGAACTGTTACACACGCTGCTCCCAGGTTCGGCTTATGGTCACTCACTCACACAAGCCACCTCAGACCCCACTCCTAGAGAACACAGATTGAAGCCCCCCAAGACCATAAGTCTGGGGAACTGTTACACACGCTGCTCCCAGGTTCGGCTTATGGTCACTCACTCACACAAGCCACCTCAGACCCCACTCCTAGAGAACACAGATTGAAGCCCCCCAAGACCATAAGTCTGGGGAACTGTTACACACGCTGCTCCCAGGTTCGGCTTATGGTCACTCACTCACACAAGCCACCTCAGACCCCACTCCTAGAGAACACAGATTGAAGCCCCCCAAGACCATAAGTCTGGGGAACTGTTACACACGCTGCTCCCAGGTTCGGCTTATGGTCACTCACTCACACATTCCTTAATTTTCCTTAACGACTTGCTTCCTTCTTATCTACCTCCCTGAAGGGATCTCATAGATAAGATTCCTGGCTTTTGTCCTCTCTGCTTACGTGCCTGCTTCATCTTTAGGTTATGGCAGCTTCAGCCTAGTCTCACAGAACTCCACTGCCAGCCCAGAAATGACATCGAGGAGCTCAGGCAGGGAAGCTCCTGTGCAGCAGGGAGGCTGGTACAACAGCAGCAGTCCCAACTGAGCCCTAGAGCCCAACTTAATGAACAGGGTCTCGCATCCAGTGACCTGTGGTGCAGCGCCCCTGGAAGCCGTAAGAGATTTCTGGATGACAATTGCCACACCCCCAACCCTGCCCCAGAGACTCAGTTGATCCCGCACCCAAAACCCTGCTGGGTATATCTCAGAAACCCCCCCCCCCCACGAACCCAGCCAGGTCTTGGTAATACATGCCAGGTTGGCCCTGGCATTCAGTAGCACCAACCAGAGGCCAGGGCCACTGGCCTAACCCTACAGCCCAACTTAATGAACAGGGTTTTGCATCCAGTGACCTGTTATAGTGATAAAGTTGAAATTTCAACCAGATTTTCATTTCAAACAAATATGTCATACTGGTGCCTTTGTGGGTGTGTTCTCCTGAATTCTTTCAGCTAATTAGTTTTTCAGGTTGTTTATAAGGTTTTATTTGGAAACTGAATGAGGCAATAAAACTAATTTCATTAGTTCATTAAAAAGCATAGGATTCTAAGCATGGAATTACATGTTATGATCATCACATAACAACAGTGACAAAAACATTTTGATTAGTTAGATTTAAAAGGAAATCCTGGATTTGTTTAGGTTTCATAACTGAGCAAGCATCCTAAAGGAGGTTTGGAAACATTTGCAATGAAGAGAGAATATAGACAGCAAAAATGGTAGTGATTTCAGAACTACTTTTTTTTAAAAGAAAGATGAAATATAAAAAACAACAACAAAGATATAAAAGTGATTGTATACAATTTCTAAAAGTCTACATATGTTATAATGAC